ATGAATAAACGAAGCTGGACGCAGTAGCACATACCTGGACCATCAGGGGGCCATCTGGGCATCAGGGCGGTTGAAGCAGGAAGGAAAAGGGTTGGGATGTAGCTGCACGGTAGAGCGCCCGCTAGGCATCGAGGTCCTGGGTTCAATCCCCAGCATTATTTGAAAGAAAAAAATGAAGAAAAGAATGAGTAAAAAATAAATGAACTTTTAAAAAGAAACACAAAAGAATATATTAGGATCATAGAAAAGGGAATCATTCTTTTAAAGATACAAAATGTTGGGCATGGTGGCACATGCCTGTGATCCCAGCTCTGCAGAGGCTGAGGCAGGATTGCCTTGAGTCTGAAGCTACACATTGAGTTCAAGGCCAGGCTGAACTACATGAGATCCTGTCTCAAAAATCATTAAAAGCACAAAATGGAACAAATTGTAGAGATTGACAATTGTTATCAAAGGACAACTTCAAAATTATTTAGCAGCCAAAACAACACTTGCCAGAGATATAGTTGAGTTGGAAGGTACAAAGAGGAAATAAAAGTTTGCCACACATAGAGCTGAGAAATGATTGCAATAGAATTTTGTTTTGTTTTGTTTTTTGTTTTTTGTTTTTGAGACAGAGTCTCACTATGTAGTTGAGACTGACCTGAACTCACTATGAAGCCCAGGCTGGTCTCGAATGCACAGTGATCCTCCTGCCTCAGCCTCCCAAGTGCTGGCATTACAGGAGTACGCCACCACGCCCAGCTTTTTTTTGTGTGTGTGCAATAGAATTTTAAAAGATCTCCTTCTATTAGTCTGAATGAGAAATATATAAAGGCAGATCACAAAGGGGGTGACTCTCATAGTGAGTCAAGAAAAAGAAAGGGAAAATGTCCAATTTCACAGGTAACCCAGATAATGTAAATTAAAACATTCACTTTTGTATGGACTGTGTACTCTAAAAATCTGCATACAACATGTATGGCAAGAATTCAAAGAAGATTTAAACATCCTTATGTTGGTATGAATAAAAAAAGCCACTTTGCCAGGGATTTAGTTCAGCGGTTCGGTGGCCTGCCTTGCAAGTGCAAGGACCTGAGTTCAATCCCCGGTACCAAAAAAAAAAAAGACACTTAGTGAAAGCAACTTGGCAGTCTATGGTAAAGTGGTACATGAACCTATTTTTTTACAGAATTTTTAGAAATTCCACATTTAGAAAAAAATTCTAGAAGATAATCCACTACAGGTATATAAAGAGATAGGTTCAGGATGCCTGTGTAATCGTTCTTTCTTACAGCAGATTTTATTGTAAATTGAATAAGTAAATTCTGGATATAATATATAATAAAATGCTAACTCCCTATAAATTGGAAGAATCTGAAAAATATAATTTTGATAGAAAAAAGGCAAGTATGTCATTGCTTGTACAAAGTTTTAAAACTATAGAAAATACCATAGACTATCCATAAACACGTCTATGTGGTAACTGCAAAAATAGACATGGGAGTGATGAACACTAATTTAGGACAGAGAATAGCTTGCGGATGAAGAGGGTGAGATTTGTACATATGAGCACTTCAACTGTCTATGCAATATGTTTTACTTTTTTAATCAATGAAATATTAAAACGTTAGTATTTAATAACATTTGTTGAATAAAAATATGTCATTCTCTGTAATGTTTTGGGTGGTAATGATAGGTTATTAAAAATAGTGTGGTGTTGAATAAAGTAGAATTCTACTGTGGCCAATGTAAGACTTCTCAAACTTAGAATGTGTTGTGAGTCTTTAACATATTTGACTATGGAGAGAATTCTGAGGGTATATATGGATAGACTAGGTTATTGCAAACAAACAGGAGAAATGCATATCTAGAAATGGACAGTGCTTAGTAGTTCTTTATTAAAGCAAGTCCCTGAAGTTGGGACCACCATCTTCCTTAGGGTTGAATGTTATTCTAAATGAATAAAACTTTGTTATATGTTGCTAGGCTTGGGGGAAATTTATTTAGAAGTTCTTCAAATGTGTGCCATGAAATAAATGTGGAGTTTAATTTTTTAGGGTTTTCTTGATTTTTTAGGGTCTGGCAATTTATATTTCATAAGTTTTTTTCAGTGTACAATTCAATAATTTTTAGTTAATGTTTAGAATTGTGCCACAATCACCACGGTCCAGTTTTAAAGCATTTCCATGCCCCACAAAGTTCCCAGCAGCCCGAGAATGGTCAGTCCATATTGCCACCCCCAGGCAATCACTAATTTGCTCTCCATCTCTATACATTTGCCTTTTTTGGATATTTCACACAAATAGAATCATATAATATGTAGCCTTTTACATGTAGTTTCTTTTACTTAGCACAGCTTTTCTGAGGTTTATCCCTGTTACAGGCTGTGTCAATATTTCGTTCCTTCACATTGGTGATTGGTTGATTATACTTCATTGCATGAACACACAACATTTGCTTTATCAATACAACAATTAATGGTCATTTGAATTGTTTGTAGTTTGTAGATTTACGTCATGTCCAATTTTTGGGGGTTTTTGTGTGTGTGTGTGTGTGTGTGTGTGTGTGTGTGTGTGGTACCGGGGATAAAACTCGGGTCCTTGTGCTTGCTGCAGGTGGTGGGACCACTGAGCTAAATCCCCAACCCAGTTCTTTTGTAATAATGTTTTTCCATTTATCTTGGGTAGATGCTCAGGTGAGGAATTTACTGTTAACTTTTTAAAATACCATCTAACTATTTTCTAAAATGGTGATAGAATTTTTCATGTCCACTAGTGATATATGAGGGTTCAATTTTGAACACTTTTTTAAACATGTTAACTATTAAATATCTTCATTGGTGAAATGTCTATGATTTTTGCCGTATTTTAAACTGGATGATGATGATAATGAAGATGATTTTTTGAATTATAAGTGTATTAGTCTGGATACAAATCTTCTACTGAAAAAAAATTTTGCAAATATTTCCTTTCTGTAAAAAGAATAATATAATTTTAAGTGGGTCTTTATTTTCATGTGTGTCCCATCTCTCACATGATCTTAATTTGGATAGAAAGTACTCTTGAGAAGATAATAATTGTACTGATACTATGATCCTATGCCTTTGATTTATTTGCAGTTTTTCTTTAAAACAGACTTAAATCTTGAGAGAAATCATTCCGACTTAGTAGCACTCCAGCCTTCCAATCAATGATGGTTCTGCCAAAGCAATTATCTTGTACTTGTTTTTCTATATATGTTCCAAAAATAAAACCAGTATTGAAAATATTCTTTGAATTTTTCTCAGTTTTCATTCTGAATTTATTTTAAATTTTTGCATGTATAGCACGGACACACACACCTATGCACACAGACACAGGGGTCTTTTCTTTGCCTCAGAAGTTAAGATTTAGTACTTTGGTAATTGTTGATGTTACTTATAAATTTTGGCCAAACTCCGGTTGCAAGATTACTGTCAAATAGAAAACAGGAACTCAGTGAAAAAACAATGAAAGTGATCATTAATTATGATTTTGGTGAAGCAACAGTATGAATCCAGGAAGGCAACTGCTCCTGCCTTTAACACCAGGCAGGATAAGCTCTCCCAGGTCACCTGCACCAGTTGTCTAGGAAACACCACTGACTCCACACAGCACCCTAGCATTCTCCCACAGCTCCCTTACATGCACAGTGCTCTTCTTTTAAAAAGAAAGAAAGAAAGTTTTGCAACCTGCCCTTATTGGCTTGAAATGAATGTCCTTTACACTTGAATGTGCCTTTTGTTTCATTTTTAAAAGTCTTTCTGAAAGAAAACCTTGTATGAACACCTGGCATTTCACAAATTATTGTGTTGCTTAAGGGCACCTTTTCTGGGCCTGTCTTTTATTCATATGTTGAAAGGGCAGAGCATAAACAGATAGCTTTCCTGTGCTCTACCTTTGCATGCGTGAAGAGGTGGAGGCGGGGAGGGTAATAATCCTTCATGTGTTTTTGCTGCTTGAGAATATTTTTTTGAGGAAATACACAGTTCTCCTATAGATATAAAGTAAACATATGTTAAAGATTTTATTTCATTCATTATTGAAAGAGAACTGGGAGGATGTTACAAGGTTCAACAAATCCTAGGGTGTTGAGAGGACTATAAAAGAGACAGTTGGCTGTTTCCTTGGAGGCGGGGTCAGGGAGAAGGCATAGTAAGTACTTCATCAGAGACACCCAGCAATCTTTTCTGCTTACTTTACATTCTGTACAACTTGAGTCAGGTTTGTCAAGCTTTGTCGGTAACATGCGAGAATAGTAAATATTTTAGGTTTTGTGCTCCTTAAAGTTCCTCACTGAACTCTACTGCTGCGACCCGAAAGCAGTTGCAGACAACACGTGAACAAATGAACATGATTACCTCTAAATAAAACTTCACGGATATAGAAATTTGAATTTCATATTCTTTTCCTATGTCACAAAATATTATTCACTTTATATTTCCGTTTTCCAATCATTTAAACATCTAAAAAAATACTGATGGAACGAACATAACGGCCTGCAGATCCAACTGCAGATCTACAGAGAGCAACTTGCCGGGGATTTAGCTCAGTGGTTCTGTTGCCTGCCTTACAAGCACAAGGACCAGAGTTCGATCTCCGGTACAAAAAAAAAAAAAAAAAAAAAAAAAAAAAAAAAAAAAAAAAAAAAAAAAAAAAAAAAAAAAAAAATTACAGAGTAACTTCATAAACTCCTTACTAAGATGAGTAGATTTATGATAATGAGTTATCATACATAATGGCCTAACTATATATTACATATATGCATGTGTAGGTACAGGTGAAAAAGCCGAAAACCAAGACCAGACTAGAACCACTACAAACCTTTATTGTAGGAACAATCCACCGGGCTGCCTCCGATCAGAGCGAGAGCGAAATGGCAGAAGGAGAGCTTCTTTTATAGGACTGGGGGTGGAGTTAAATGAGATAGTACTAAGGGATTGGAGGAGCCTGTGACATCACTGGGCGGGGCTTTGTGACATCACTGGTTATTTGGAGGAAGCAAGTATCTGGTTACTTTTTGGGTGGAGAAGAGGCATCATGGGAAGAAGGCTGTACTTTGTAGGTGGGAGAAGCCATCTTTTAAGGTGAGAAGCAGGGCATTATGGAAAGGGGAGTAACGGCCATTTTAAGGCGAAGGAAATCTAACATAAGTAATAGTGAAAAAAAGAACAGTTAGAATCTTATGCGAAAACAGTTGGAAAACCCTGGGTGGCAAAGTAAAGATTATTATATCTTGTTGTTGACAGGAATTATATCAACCTAGTATACCACCCACTTTATCCTTAAGATACCTCCCTATGATGAAGCCACAACTGTCTTTGATGGGTGAGGACCCAGAGGTGATTCTTAGAATTGCCTTTACTAAACTCACATGGAGTTCCAAGCAGAGGTGGCCTAGTTAAGGCACCAAACACTCTGCTTGTTTTAGGGAGTAAACTTCAACTGACACAGCAGAATCCATATGTTTGGAAAGTTTGGTAGTCAAGTAAACACCTAAAAACCAGTGTTCACAGGTTTTCAATTGATTCCAGTAACTACAGGAAGTAGTAGATGATTTCTTCCCCCCTTTCACTTGCAGAAATTCTAAGGGAGAAGCATTCCCTTTCCTCTGTGCTGTATCAGCAGTTGCTCCTCTTGATACCAGACTACTTCCCTTGAGCTGCCCAAGGAGACCCCAGGTCTTGTCAAGAGAAGAACATGAACAGATAACTCGGTAAATGCAGTTTATCTCGACTGCTCAGTGCATCTGGGTTTTCCCCCTCCTCAGCAGAAGTATTTTAAAAGGCCAAGTGAAATTAATTTGACCTTTAATGAGGTAGAAGGAATAAAATATATACACCTGGCTGCTGTAAAGGGGTTTCCCCCCTGTAGTAACTTTGTGGGTGACATTTGGCTAATTTATATCTAAAGAAACATTGGCTGCATCGACACAAAGTCTGATGTCTTTAATGTGAGAGAAAAGAGGATGCAGTTGGAAAGGAGTTAATTTTGCAGAACAACAAGTGAAGATGACAATGCGGCAATAATCTGCCTTTTGCATTTATGTAAAGGATGGTAGAATTGAGCACAGAAGGACATCTTCATCTGTACCCTCATCTTCCATCTTTTTCATTGAAAATCTCTCAAATGCAAAGATTATAAAGGTAGAGTAACTTCTGTGAGTTTATTTGACCTTATTTTAAGTTTGCTATGCTAGGTTTTGTTTTAAAGGATGAGGGACCAAGAGATGGAGAAAAGAGGCAGGAAGGAGAGGAAAAGGAACTTAAAGAGAATTAAGATGTGCTGTATACATGTACCAACTCCCCACCTTGTGGGAATAATGAATGCAATTATTACGTACTGCTAATATCTACTAATAAAGATTAAATTAAAGACAACCATTACCAAAAATATGTGTGTGTGCGTGTGTATATATATATATATATATATATATATGTGTGTGTGTGTGTGTGTGTGTGTGTGTGTGTGTGTGTGTATGTATATATATGATGTATACAATCATGATCCTGATGTATGTTAAAAAGTGGCTGCAACATACTTTAATTGTTCTTAATTTTATGCTATGAACTAGATTATTTTGAGAAATTAGCACGATCATATCTTAAGATTTACAAAGAAACTTTTATTTTTAGAAAAGAAAGTAATATATGACCCATTGAGATATATTTTTAAAATATAAAATGAAAGCATGAATATATAATACAAATAGTTATACATATGAAATTAAAAAGTAAATCTCTCTTTCTAACTCCTTTTCTTATAAACACACGCACAATAGTACATGCTTATTCACATGCTTCTTAATCCTATGATCCTTTGCAAACAGGTTTAGTAAGCATCCTCATGAATTTTTATTATGTATTTGCATTCATATATTTATGTATATATAGAATATAAGTAGGTACTTATTTTAATTGCACTTTCCCTCTCTATACATCTTGAGAGTCTTTCAATTCA